CGGATGCCACGCTCAATAATGTCAGCGATGTGCTTCAATGCTGGCGCATAGTGCCGGCTGCTGTAATAGGCCAAAGCCAGGTTGTAAGAAAGATCAGGCTGGTAGCCCAAGGCCTGCAGGGCCGCAAAGAACTTGGAGCATGCAGCTTCATACTGCCCTTCCTTGTAGAGCAAACAACCCAGGTTGACCTGGCCATCGGGATCGTTCTCTCCCCCTCCCTCCTCTCCGCCTTCCCCACTGAGCAGCTGCTCCACCAGGCTCCTGGCCCCTGGCAGATCACCCTCGCTGTACTTGATGGCAGCCTGCAGGCGGAGGACCCGGTTGTGGTAGGCGGGGTTGTCCAGCAGGAGGAAGGCGACCCGGGTGGCGTCCGGAAACAGGCAGGCCTTGTACAGGGCCTGGGCCTGGTACAGGCGGTACTGCTCGAGCTCTGGGTGCAGCTGGCTCAGCTGCTCATAGCACTCGGCGGCCAGCGCGAACTCCTGCAGGCGGTAGTAGCAGTAGCCCAGCAGCGACAGGCCGGGGCGGCTCTTCGGGCTGCGCTGCAGCTCCCCGCTCAGCAGCTGCACCGCCTCGGCGTAGCGAGAATCCCGGATGAGCCGGTACACGACCACGGTGAACTCCCTTTCGGGGATTTGCGGACCGTTCAACCCGGCCATAACTGCTAAGATTGTGGCGTCGGTTTGTTTCCACGGTAACTGTGCAACCGGAAGCGGAAGTCTGCCGGAGATTACGTTGCTGCAGACAGAATCCTATAGGAATAAAAAAGAATCATGGATATGAGTCTCTCAATCTGATTTGATTCTAGTAAACTCGGTACCGTGGAGTCGCGGTAATACGAGAGGCGGGAGGAAGCGCCTCTCGGCGACAAACTGGTACTGCACGTCCCGGCATGCACCGCCCCATTCGCGGCGGGCGCCCCTCGGGACGTGGCCGCACAGCATGCTGGGAGGCGTAGTCTCTGTCACATGGCCGCTCTGTCTTTTCGGGAAGTGGTGTCACTTGAATGACACACTTGAATGAAGGTTGCTGTTTGTGATTGTGTACTTTGGTCTCTGGCGCGGTGGAGTAAGACGTTGGGGCCAATGTCCCTGAGTATGTTGAGCCTCACTGTTTGGCTCATACAAGTGGTGATGTTTGGTGTGATTTAGAGGAAAACATGGGATGGGAACCACGGGCTATCTCTTTGAAATTCCCTGGGAATTAGGGTAGATTCTATTACGTCTACCCTGAGAGCACGCTTTCTAAAAAGAGTAGTGCAGCCGCCAAGAATCCTCATTTTGATCTTTTTCAAGAGGTTGTCAAAGGAAAGAGATTCTGTCCATCGCAACTTGTAACTGGGAGCAGAGGAGTTTAGATCTGAGTATCTCCTCCCTTTTCTATAACAACAATTACTGAGTAAATTTTTGTTCTTAAACTTGTTTGTGGGGGCCAGCGTTGTGGTGCAGTGCGTTAAGCAGCTGCCTGCAAAGCCATTACCTCATACAGGCACCAGTTCCTGGCTGCTCCAGTTCCCATCCAGCTCACTGGTCATGTGCCTGGGAAAGCAGCAGAAGATGGCCCAAGTACTTGGGCCCAGCTACCCGGAGATTAGGATGGCTCCTGGCTTCAGCCTGGTCCTGCCCCAGCGCTAGCTGTAGCAGCCATTTGGGGGAGTGAACCGGTGGATGGAAGAGCTTTCTCTCTCATGTCTCTTTCTGTAACTCTGTCTTTCAAATAAATAAAATTAAAACAAAACAAAACAAAACACCTCTTATTTGTGACCACTCCCTGGTGTTCCAACTTTCCCTGCGAAGAAGAAATAGTGACCCCCATTGTTTTCTACAATGCCTATGATTAAGGTGGTCCAAATAAAAGGATGTCTTTAATATATAATTAAACTTTAGTGCAGGTGTTCTCTTACAGATGAAGTCCCTGTAGGCTGGAAAGGTTGAAAGGTTTAAGTAATTTTCTCAAAATTGTACCCAGGTAGGTAGTGGCTGAGTTATGCTATACATCAACTGAGTTCACTAGAAAAGAGTGACTACTGAATAACTCAGTCTATGTATGTCCTGCAGATGAGTGTGTAAAAGCCCAGTTTTTCATGCAAAGTGTGCATGAAGGTAATTATCTTTTTTCCTCTGAACTTGATGTTGGCAGTAAGCTTTGAACTGCCTGATGTCAACTGCAGGTGTGGACAGATGTTAGAAGTGACTAGTGAGGGTCATATGGCTACTAGTCATCTAGTGATGCTAGGAGACTTCAGCAGGTTGCGATGGCTGATATGGTAAAGTGACTAACTTTATGTACAAATTCCATCTTCTCTGTTGCTGAGACTTGACAAGGTTGTGAATTCAAGGGTGGCACCGGACAGTGAGCCTTCCAGTGGGTCAATTCAAAGAAAGGACTAAGTGTACCAACTTCACAGGGATTGAGTGGGGCTTTGGCTCATCCAAGATCACTCCCAGAAAGCAGCTGAGTAATACGACTATACTCCTACTCTGAGGTTTCTGTCAGTTTGATCTCTGATTTGGCATTTTAGAGGCTTAATCCTTGGAGGAACGTGGTGGAGGGGTGCAGGCTAGAGCTGCTCAGTAATAAGGGGAGTGTGTGTGTCTTCTCCTTTGTGGCTGACTGCCTGACACTTGGCCAGTGGGAACTTAGGCTCAGTATTTTAAAATGCTTACAGACACATTTAATAGCAAGTTGCTATTAAATGAAGGTAAGATGACAAGATGGAAACAGGAAATTGCCTTACATATTTTTTAGCCTTTCTCCCTGTTTTGCAGAGTTCTATATGCATCACAAAAGTATTCATCTTCAAATGGCTTCCAGAACATGTATGAAAAAGCAAAAGGACTATGTAGTCTTCATCAAATTTCTCTCTTTCCTACAGGAATCAGTTGGGCATCTCTTGTTTGTGCTAGTACCTGTCTGCGAGTGTGGCAGCTGAACAGGGCCAGAGGGAGGCCATTCTGTGTCTTCCTCCTTATTTCACGTGATGCTGCTCCAGAGGCCTGGCTTGAAAAAAGCAGGACATTCGGCTTAGACAGATGGAAGGCAGGGTCATTTTCAAAATGAAATGAGTGCACAAATCACACTGTGAAATCGGCATGACCATCACTGTGGCTGTGATGGAGCGACTTTTATTTAGTCTCTGATAGGCAGTTGGGGAATAGATTAGGGTTTTTTTTTTTTTTTTTTGGTCGTGGGGGAGGGGAGTGGGGAAAATGAAAGAAGTCCCTTTAATTAATGATAGAAATTCTGGAAAGCAATAAACAGGATAGAATATTCTAAAATGTCATAAGGGATCATTTTGTTTGCAGTAGAATCTTGAAAAGCTGGAGCATATATCAAAAAGTACGTGTATCATACCATTTCAAGCAATAGGAAAGCACTTGGTGGTTGTAATAAAGCAATTTAATGACTTGTGGGAAGGAATTAGGGATTGAGAAAATGGTGTTGAATTCAGGGAGCAGTATTCTGTAAAAAAGGAGGCACATTTTATTGTGTTGAAGAATTCAACAAAATGTTTGGAGTTAAAATCATGATGTGTGGTTCCAAGCATGGAAGTTCTGCCTGCCAAAGTTTGAGATGCTCAAATGTTCACATCCTATTTGTATGTATAATCTATTTGTCATTTTCCTTAACCCTAATTGGAAAGTTTATCTTCTTACTTATCCTATAATGTGACCAATGTTGGTAAACATTGTTAATCTGTATTTCAACCACAGCCATGATCAAACATGGTCCTCATAAAAGATGATTTTCTGCAAAACCATCTTCCAGTTGTTTTTCATTTTTTTCCTTTGATTCCATATAATCTTCAGGATGTTTTTTTTTTTTTTTTTTTTTTTTTTTTTTTTTTTTTGAGGAGGGGAATGGAGGGCAAGAGGGAGCTTAATTTTCTTGCATTCTCACCCTGTACCTGATCTCCCACCACGAACGGGCAAGAAAAGAATAAATTAGCCAATTTATGAACTTGATGTACTTTTAGTAGCATCTGTTCAATCTTTTAAGGTTTTTGGAAATACTGTATGCTGAATCAACACTTGGGAACACTGATGCTTCCATGGTGAGAAATTTTACCTCATCATGAATGCTCCTTTCACTGGTATTTCCAGCTTTCTTAATATTTAATTAGATTTTCTTCTTGAACATACTTTGCTTTTGACCAAGTAGCTTGTACGTTGGCATTTATGGTGTTATTGTCTAAACTTATCAGGGAGAGCACAATAGCATTGTGGTTCATAAAAAAGACTAGCAGAGAATGCAAAACTGTGGACACTGGCATCAAACAAAAAATCATCCAACCATCCAAACAAAGAGTTGCTCCAATCCCTGTGTTTGTACTATAGTTTCAGTACCAGGCCTGTTTCGCTCAACTTTCCTCATTCATCCTCACAGTCCTTCTGTGAATTCGGTGATTCTTACCGTTGACCCCATGTTAAGACTGCAGACGGCAAAGCACAAAGAAGCCGGCTGTTGCTGCAGCCAGCACTGGCGATTGCTTCTGCCGGCCAGCAGTGGGCCACACTGCACCTCTTCCTTCTCTCTCCCCGGGCACCTCCTCTCCAGTCATTTGAATTGGCTTTGGATCATTTGCTGCAGTTTGTTCTAACAGAACAGGCACAATGGCGTAAGAATTTTAAAGTTTAAGCACCGAAGCCATTGTGTAATTGTATGGCGTCCGTGTGGCTAGCGGCCCTGCACTGATGCGATCCCCCTGTGTAATTGCCCATGCAAATCTGAGCAATCTGTAACGGACACAGGAACCCAGCATTTGGCTGCAAACTCTCCTACTTTTGGAAAACTTCAATAATTGGAAGAGCCTTTTGTCATCTTTAAAAATGCTATATGGGTTGTCCCAGCACCCTTTTCACACAGGCAAACATCACAGATCAAGATGTGGTTAATGGGCTAAATTAACAGTTGGAATTTAAATTGTAGGTAGTCAGATGCATGCCTTCTTTTAGCCCTTAAGTCACCCTTCTCAAAAGAAATAAAGATTATTTCAGAGCCATAGTGAAACATTAAGCATTTTATTAAAAACAAAGATATTTCGATCTCTTAAAGCAGACTGTTTCAAAATCATAGATTAGTTGCTTGCAAAATGGCCAAGCAGTCTATAATGTAGTATTCTTACAATGAAACATCAGCCTGGGAAATCTACACAAAGGGAAATACATCAAACAACTCAGTTAAAGATGTATTTCCCTTCTTTTGTGTAAAACAATAATAATTAGGAAGCAAGTCAGTAGGGGATCCTTTTTAGATTATTGTACATCAAACTAAAATGGCAAAAGCAGTATTCCCAAAGGGAATGAAACTAAATAGAACCTAACCTCCTATTTTCACAACTGTGCTGTTTTGTTCCATCTTCTATGTGTGATTTAATCTAAACAAAAGCAAAAGAAAAATTAAGATTTTAATGCATGTACACATATGTACCAAAAATGAACACAAAGATAGATGGCCCCAAATAACACATTTTTAAACAGCAAATACTTCTTTTACTTAATAAAACAAACATTTATGTATCAGTGTATACATTCAGTGACACTGGTATAGATATGTCATAAACAACTTATCTTTAGTACTGCTGAGAGATGTATCAATCGTGCAAGAACATTCAAAATTAAATTTAAAAAACCATACAACCCAAGATTACTAGCTGAGGAAAAAAGAGGCAGTGACACAAACAATGTAAGCAGAATACTGGGCTTTGCTAATTCGACATGCTCATCACAAAATACTCCGTTTACACCTCATTGTATTTCTGTCACCTATGTGCTTTATTCTATTATTGCTCACTTAAGAAACTTAGGAAATTTTGGCCTTCCTGTACCTAGACGTAGGCTTTACATTTCCTGACACATTTAAGTTTTGGAAGTTCTTCATAGCTTAGAACATGGCAGAGTAACAATTTCAGAGGTGGTTATTCTGAAGCAGATAATGAAACTTTACTATTGCCATAGGTATTAGGATCCCAAATTAGATTTTGTTCATTGCTGTAAGGAATCCTTTTTTGCATTTTCCCTCCAAAATGTTTATATTTAAATTTTCCTCCAATATGTTTGGATTTCTATCTCAGTGACAGGAAATTATTTTAAACTATTACTCAAGATGAAACTTTTTTGTCTTTCTGCCATTCATAAGAGTCAACAGGAGAAATGAATTTTAAAATAATTGTACCACAAATTTGAGCAGGCTCTGTTTAATGACCTATGGTAAATGAATAAAGTATGATAAATTCTGATATAGAAAAAGCAATTGAATTCCAGTAGCATTAATATAATATTGTTATTACACTGATACAAAAAATTAAAGATTACTTCTAGCACACTGTCTTTGCAAATAACAAATACCTGGGAATGCACAGATATGTCAGATTTTAGCAACAGTGAAAACACACACATGGCAATTTTAACTTTTCTTTACTGACTTCTTAAATTTATATCTGAATGACTACCACTTATGGGATACCTATGATATTAGATCAACTGAAAGTGTTCTAATTTATTACATAAAGGAAGATATGAGTAATTTTAAAAAACGCTTTGGTGACCATATCTGTCATGATTACTACAGGCAGGCTCGGGCATGTCTGTAGTCAGATTGTTTATATATCTACCCGACATACGTAGCTTAATTTTGTCTTCCCCGAAAATCTGATCTCTTCACATTTGCTCCCATTTGGAGAAGAATAAGTAAGAAAGTTATCTGGAAAAATCTGCGTAATGCCAAACACAGCTTGTCCTTTGGTGTTAGAACTGAATTAAAATTCAATGATTTCTTTAACATCTAGAAGACCTGAGGCCTGGAGAGCCCCCAGGGTCCCAGCGAGAGGCCAGCCAGGATGGAATCTTGGCCTTCTGTGCACTGGGTGGCAACCTCTATGGCATGCCAGGCTGTCTCCATCTGCCAGTATTGCTGGCTACCACGTAGACTGCCCTGTGTTATCTACATGTCTGAAAAAATATATATCTTATGTAAAAAGGGGGATGAATTTCAATCATTAGTGCCAAGAGACCCAAGGGAGCAAAACTGTTCAGTTTGAGGTTTTACAAGAAGACTCACATTTCAAATCCCTCCCAACAATAGGAAATAAACAATAATAATAAGGACTGGGAAAACTGCTCTCTGTCTTTCTTGAAAAAGCAGATGTGGATAACCACACATACCTCACATTCTTGGAAAATTACAAATTCATTTTCAAAGGTATTGAAAATACTTCGAACTCCTGAGTTCAACCTCTAACCCCTGGGGTTGCTGGCACCAGGCAGGCTGTCAGCCTCCTTTCCACTGCTTTCTGGTCATGGAGGAACAGAGCCATGGCATTACTCAGCAGTTTCTGAATCTTGACCCACAATAGCAAAGATACCTCGAGACAGGAGAAATAGATGGAGGCAATTACAAACAGCTACTTGATTGATGGTTGACATTGTCAGGGCCCCACTATATGGCAGATTGCAATGGTGTTGAACTCCCCTTGCTACCAGTGGATGTTGCTATTGGCAACCGTGCAGTGAAGCCAATAAAAAGGCAAGAAAATGAGACGAAAACTCAACCTTAGTGGAAGCCGTAGGGTTTGTGCTATAAATTATGCTTCCCTTAGCAATATGCAGCATCAACGTTCAGGGCAGCTACCGTGCTTGTAGCTGCCTGCAGTCTGTGTCAGATTCTGGGTCTAGTTTTATCCTACAGCACATGCTTTAAAATTTTGCTCTGGATGGACTGGTATCCGTTTGTCCGGGCTATTTATTTATTTATTGTTGGGGAGGATAACAGATGTGGGCTCATCTCTGGCTCACATGGTCTGCTTTCCAATTCCCATTTGTGATATAAACATGATGTGGCACAATACCCAGAAACACCTGCAGTGCTTCGGCACTGCAGGCATGTGACGCGATGTCGCAGACCCCGGTCTGTCTCTAACTCCACCCACCCTTTGTTCCTCACCTGAAGGAGGGGAGACAGCCCTGCGGAAGCTATTTTCCTTTATAGCAGAGTGATTCAGAAAACTGGCTTAATAAAATCCATAAATCTGAACAACCTCCCTTACCTGCTCTGCGGAGGCAATTTTTCCTGTACTCATTTTCTCCTCTGGTCTCTCCAGCCTTCCCTGCAGAGACAGCTGTAAAGGGCAGCCAGGAACATTATTTTTTAGGGCTCCCACTCCTTCCTTCCTTCTCTTCTTTGTCAAACCCCTCCCTGTCCAAGTTTCTCTCTGTTCTAAGCAATTGAGGATAGGACTGTACACCCTCACTGTCTGGGTTGCAAGTGCCATTTCTCTTTGTTTGGACTGACTCTCACCTTCCCTTTGGCAGCTCCCTTAACCACCTGCCTCCGTCCCTCTCTTTCCTTTAATGGTCTTCTCCTTTTTCTTCTTCCTTTCCTCTCCCCTCTGTGCCTGACTTATAATTTTCTTTTACTTTGTTTTTCTTGCCATAACAAATCCCAATTCTTCTCGATGATGACCATTTCCATTTTTCTACCTCAGTTTTCCCCATTTCCTCTTAAACATTTCCCAGGTGTCTACTATGTGCCAGGAAAACAATGTCCCTTGTGGAACTTGCCCCCTTTTCTTTCATATTTGAGTAGTAAACTTCATAAGTGATACTGATCAGTAACAAAAACAAATATGGTTTGTAAATTTTGATTTTTTTTTTCAGAGCTGGGCTGGATCTCAGGTTTCATCTGGTCCAGGGATTTTCAAACTCTTCAGAGTCCCTTTGTGGTTCACCATGTTATGTAATCAAAATCAGGAAGATTTGTAGGGTCCCTAAACCCCTGAAAATAGGAGACTTCAGCTTTTAGATGTAGTATATCTCAGGGATTCCTTGAAAGGTTTATTTGAACAGAGTTCTAAGGCTAAAGCAGGTTTGAAAATCATTTCCTAGTATAATCTCAGATGACAAAAGAAGAAAGAAAAAACAAATTCAGAGAAATTGACTTGTCCAAAGTCATCCAGTCAACAGTGCCAAAATGAGAGCTGGAAATCTATCTTCTGGCTCAGGATCTTTGGATAAGACACACTGTGTTCTCAGTATCTCAGGTAAAACAGAGCAAAGCAGCTTCTAGTTGTTGTCCATTTTAAACAGTTTATGCTCACCCATTATAAACCTGGATTCCTATAGCATATGTGTCCTATGCCAATACTATTATTTCTTAACCCTTCAAGCATCATTTCTCACACTCAAGGAAAAAAAATCCCCAATTGGGGACCCCTGCATCTGGCTTTGGAGTGCTCACTGGTAGTAACCTAAAATTTTATACCAAAGCCTCCTCACTAGGAGAACTGAAGGAAGTCAGTACTCAGTCTTCATGTCTCTGCTGTGTCACTGTTGAAGGCAGTTCCTAGATGTTCGTGTCACCTGTGGTAATTCCAGCTGAAGTTTTCCTTTCATGCTTACTTTAATTAAAATCTATTAACACATTCCTTCTGAGAAAAGGCTAGATCTACAATAGAGGTTGGATTTTTAAAACTCTGAAAAAAGGGACCACGACCCAGTGTAGTTTACAATCTTGTATAAACACCAATCAGACAAACTCATTTGCTGTATTCTTACTATAGATTTTTTGGGGGGAAACTGCGTTGACTGGGATTTATAAGGATAATATAGTTTACCTTTTAGGTAGGCAATCCTAAAGGCTCTTATCCACCCTTAAGGAGCTTTAGGATTGAAAACAAAATACCTCCATAGAATACAAATGAGGTTTCTTGGGACAGTCTGGCACAGAAGGGCGCTCAGCGAGACAGCGCAAAGGCAGGCAGTGTTTGGCTTCTAACGAACAGAAGAGCCCTATACAGATTGAAGCAGCACTAATGACGCTTTCACTGCTCCTGTTCCCACAGCCCAGAGTGAGCCGGGTTAAATGCATTCAGGTCCGCAGAGCCAAAACAGCCCTCCACGAAGAGCCTTCCTCTCAGCCCCGTGTGTGCGCCAGGGAAAGCCGAGGGTCCTGGGGCGTGCTCCGTGCCCCACCTCCTCCTTTGTCCTTCCTGGCACCCCCTCCACCGACTGGTTACACTTCAAGGCCAAAGCCAAGGCGTGCTGCCTAGAGCCTCTCTGAGACTAGTTCAGTCTGAGCTGAGAGAACAAAAGGACGGTGGGGCTGGCCGGAAGCCGGTCCTTCGGGCTGGGCTGCGTTCGTTTTGCAGCAGCAGCAGCAGCAGCTGATCTGGAGGTTTAGTTTCCGTCTTCCGTGGCCACCGTGCGGCCAGCAGGGGTAGGGGGGGCAGCCGATGCCTGCAGCCTTTTCTGGTGCAGTTCTTCCCACTTACTTCTGTTCGCGGCCACCGAATCCAGCATGGGCTTGAGTTTCACGTTGACCTTCACCAATGCCTGAGACAAAACAAAAAACAAGGAGAGGAGGGAGGAAGCTGAGTCCCTGACGTGCTTTTCCACCTTTCACTCTGAGAAGGATGGAAACTGGCTCTGTGGAAGCAAAGTGGTGATCATGTTGGTAAACACGAGCTATTTACAAGGGGTGGATACATCTTTACCACCTTTATGTTGCATTAACCGAGCCTAGGCAGAGAATGGACAAATGAGATGGACAGCTGTGTACAACTCCAGGGAACAGCAGCCAGGTAGATGCCGATCCTGTGTTACAACCACATCAAGCGAGACAGGAAATAAAACGTCCAGTTCACACACGTCTGCCAATCTGTGTATCTTTGCTTGCCATCAAGGGCTCCAGATCGTGATACACTATGAACTAAATTTTTTACAAAAACAAACCTACAGCTCTTCTGCCATAGATGACCCTGGATGGACTTACCTGGATACGAAAGTCCAGGTAAAATCCTGAAACAAGAAGAGATGCTGACTTTTAAAACTTAAGAGATATCGGGGCCAGAGCTGTGGTGACTGGGACTAGAACCCGGTGTGCCGGCGCCGCTAGGTGGAGGATTAGTCTATTGAGCCGCGGCGCCGGCCAACACCGGGTTCTAGTCCCAGTTGGGGCACCGGATTCTGTCCCGGTTGCCCCTCTTCCAGGCCAGCTCTCTGCTGTGGCCCAGGAGTGCAGTGGAGGATGACCCAAGTGCTTGGGCCCTGCACCCCATGGGAGACCAGGAGAAGCACCTGGCTCCTGGCTTCGGATCAGCGTGGTGCGCCGGCCGCAGCGGCCATTGGAGGGTGAACCAACAGTAAAGGAAGACCTTTCTCTCTCTCTCTCTCACTGTCCACTCTGCCTGTCAAAAGAAAAAAAAAAAAAAAAAGAAGATGGCCCAAGTCCTTGTGGGCTCCTGCACCCACGTGGGAGACCTGGAAGAAGCTCTAGGCTCCTGACTTCAGATCGGCGCAGCTCCAGCCTTTGTGGTCATCTGGGGAGTGAGCGAGAGGATGAAAGACCTCTCTCTCTGTCTGCCTCTGCCTCTCTAACTTTATCTTTAATATAAATAAATAAATCTTAAAAAAAAAACCTTAAGCAATCTTGGAATTGTGCTAAATATACAGCTCAACATGGTAGCATATATGGAAATAGGACATAAAGGAAAAGGAGTGTGGAAAAGAGTGACAGGGTACTAAAGCCACCATCTGCTGCCTCCCAGAATGCACATTAACAGGAAGCTGGATGGGAAGTGGAGAAACTGGGACTTGAACCAGGCATTCTGAAACAGAATGTGGGCATCCCAACTGGTGACTTCAGCATTGTACCAAAGGCCTAGTGTGTTATCTAAACATCCAAAATATGTTCACTTGGTAGTATGTTTACAATAGCAGCTTATAAATGGGCAAAATCTAATGAAAACATATGGACTTTTAAGCATTTATACTTCTTGGGCCTGTTCTCCATTTCCAGGGGTTCAAAGAAGCCTAAGAACCTGGCATCCCACATAGATGAGGAAGAGCTTCCACTTATAAATACCTACTGTATGGTACAAAGGTATTCCTTACAATGATTCTGCATCTTACACGTGATAAAATATGGCTCACACATGTTATGATTGGAAATGGTCTTTAGTCCTTCTACTGTGGAATGGAGGAAAGAACCCATATAGGAAGCAAAGGGTTATGTTTGTAATGTGACCATTTGTTTTGAAAGCTGTGGAGAGAACCATTGTTCTCCTCAAGTGAAAAATCAAGGCTAGGCCAGTAGCCCGCCATGTAGAATAGTGTAGAGTTGTCAGGGATGTGGCACAGAGGGGCAGCTCTTAAGAAGAAACAGACCAAGAAGGTACACAACCTGAAATTGTGTGGCTCCAACCTTTGTCAATAATCACTTCAAGTCAGCGAGGAAGTCTGTTCACAGGTTTTCAGAGTCTATGACACTGAGGAAGACTGAGACAGCGTGACCGCTGTTGTCAGCACCTCGGGGTAAGGCCCAACAACAGGAACCTCCTTCCTTTCTTTCTGATTACTCATACCCTCTCCCCTCACTTCTCTCCCTGTATTCCTTGCGTTCTCTTACTCATCAATTCTATCACCCATCATTTGGGCTGTGTAGAGAACTCTGATGAGCTCTAACATGATTCTTTGAATGGAATCTGTAGCACTTGAGGCCTCCCTGTCCCTTAAGACTGAAGTAAAACCTGACCTGAAATCCAGCGCATGCTCTGGGGCCTTCCTCACCCTCTGTGTGGCTCCCCCAAGTCTTCCTTGTCTCTTGGACTTCCTCCTTGGGTCGGTTTGGCCTTGTCGGCTCCACTCTATATCATTCTCGGCACAAAGCTCTACTTATTTCCTCGTTTCACAGAAAATCAAATTACCTTCAACATTTTTTTTTTTTTGGACAGGCAGAGTGGACAGTGAGAGAGACAGAAAGGTCTTCCTTTGCTGTTGGTTCACCCTCCAATGGCCGGCGCGGCCGGCGCACCACGCTGATCCGAAGCCAGGAGCCAGGTGCTTCTCTTGGTCTCCCATGGGGTGCAGGGCCCAAGCACTTGGGCCATCCTCCACTGCCTTCCTGGGCCAGAGCAGAGAGCTGGCCTGGAAGAGGGGCAACCGGGACAGAATCCGGCGCCCCGACAGCGACTAGAACCCGGTGTGCTGGCGCCGCAAGGCGGAGGATTAGCCTAGTGAGCCGCGGCGCCGGCCCACCTTCAACATTTTGTATGCCTGCTAACTCTACTGAATATCAGAGGTTCACAGGGCAGAGATTTGCCCACTCACTCCCTCCTACATGCTCATCCTCATCTCAAACGCCACAGATACCCACCCCGCGGTAATCCGGTTTTCTCTCCTGTCTTGTCTCACTGCTTTCATACCAGTGAGTATATGCCAGCAGGTCTGTTTTCCCCAGGTTTCCTGGAATTCTAATGAAGTAAAGTTTCTTTTTCTTGTACTTACTACTGTCCTATAAGGTGGTTTTTATTTTTCCCATAAAGAAGGAGCATGGGGCTGTGAGGATGTTAGCTGATGGGAAGGTGATGTTCCACTTTCTGCCTTGGGACAATCAGCTCCTTTTGTTTTGTGGACACAGATTATACTTCTGGTCCCACGTAGACACCGTGCAGCTGTGTCCCATTCACCACAAGGGGGGCAGAAGGTGAACATGCAGAAGGTGAACACCTGCAGCACACCTCCGGGAGGAGCTTTCTTCAGCGTGACCTGTGGCTAAGGAGTGGTCAGCAGCAAGGTCCTCCAAAAGCAATGGTCCCTCTACATGCTAAGGTAGCCCCATGCCCTCCTCCAGGCGCCACTGAAAAGCATCTGCTAGCAGATCATGCCCTCAAACAGCACTGTACTCCGGGAAGTTAAGGGACACAGGTAACACAGGACTGGTCGCAAGTTAGGGGAGAGGGGTGGGGGTGAAAGCCCAGCAAAGCCATGCACCCTGCCGAACAGTGAGTGCTCCACCCTGGCCCACGTGCTCCTGCTCTGCATCCAGTGTCCTTCAAACAGAGGATGCGCTCACTCTCCCCTAATCCCGATGTTTATTCACAGAGCAAGAGCAACTCTTTAAATCGGGTGCATCCGTTATTTCATGTGATAACAAAACAAGGCCATAGGGTAACTCAGGCAGTGATTAGAATCCCCTTTGTTTCCATGAAAGAAATGCAGGGGTCTGTTTTCTGCTCAGTGTGGTGTTTGTTGTTGTTGTTGTTGTTGTTTTATCTACACATAAGTGTGAGGGAGCAATGGCTGCCATGCTTTTACTTAGTACAGTTTGGCACCAGGTCCTCTCTACTCAGATCAAGCCTTTTAATTAAACCGACTACTGTAATTCTTATGGAAATTAGTGTTTATGCTATTTTCCTGCTGCAAAAGCATTTCTCTGGAACTTATTCTTTTTTTAAATCCCAGGAGCACAAATTGGAATTTTTTTCTGCTTGAAATGTAATTAAAAACTCATTTGATTACAATATTCCTGGTTCTGTTTTACTTATTAAATTCCTGTAATCAGTTTTCCTTTATGAAGCTGCTGGGAAATGATCTCAAAAGCAACACATTTTTCTCCTCCTTGGCAGGTTCCTGAGTATTTACTAAATTATATTCATAGCACCTGCCCGTGATTCGTATTACTCCACCAATTTATTCCTTAAACCATTTAAGTTTATTTGGCTTTGCCCCAAACAGCTTTCTTTCCTTCATCTTTGTTCTTTGTCTTCCCTCTTGCTTCCTTTGTGTTGAATAAAATATTAGGGGGGAGGTACCTATTTATCAGGATTCCTCTTGCCTCTTTGTTTTGTATTCTTGTGAAACACAGAGTTGCCTTACTAGAATGTTATTTTCTCCGGGGCCAGGTGTTGGTTCTAGGCAGAGGTAGCAAAAAATCTTATCTTGGGGAGCTACTCTTATGGTATAAATTTATTGCATAGATGCCACTGGCTAAGACAATGGAACTGTTTGAATATTAGTAAAGCAGAGGATTATCTGCAAACTTGAATTCTAGGTTTATGGTAATTTTCTACAATGTGCCATCAGCAAGAGAATCGCTCTAGTACATACATGCTAGGGCATTCCTAAAAGCTTCCCCTCGGCCAGCAGCACCTGACGGGTTCTGTGTGTGTGCTGCCTATATCTGTCTAGTTTGACTTACAACTCACATACAGAGTAAAGGGGAAATTTAGCACCTGTCTGTCTGATCGCTCTCCTCATAGGCATAGGTTCTCCAAAGGTTGGGGACGTGGATGTATCAGCCTCAAGATGCTTGACTGTCCTCTGTGGCGTTGCAGCTATGTGACCTTTAAGCCACCATTTAAATAAGTCCAGAGGCAGAGAACACATTACCCCTCAGGGGCACTCCTTTTTTTTTTTTTTTTTTTCCGACAGGCAGAGTGGACAGTGAGAGAGAGAGAGACAGAGAGAAAGGTCTTCCTTTGCCGTTGGTTCACCCTCCAATGGCTGCTGCGGCCAGCGCACCGCGCTGATCCGAAGCCAGGAGCCAGGTGCTT